CAGGCGGCGGGACCGCGGCGCATCTGGGCGTCCCGCCGCTCCCGTCCTCTGGGGCGAGAAAAGCCTCGTTCGTAACTGCGGATCCGACGTAAGTCGGAGCCGCGTAACTCGGGGACTGCCTGTTTTTCTCTACTCTGTTTTTTTCTCTACTCTGCTCTGTTTTATTCCCATACTTTCCTCCATAGATCACTTCCCTTCACTACTTGCTCCATCTTTACTTTATAACTCTTTTATTATGGTCAGTTAAATTAATGAATTATCTAAACAATGAAGCTGTACTGATTAAAAGGTTACAGGGATTGTGAGGGTGTAACATGAAACTCCCTTGGCAAAGGATCCCCTGTTCTTTGAAAACTGTTATTTGGCAAACTCACTGTACCAAACAGATGTCTTACCTTTACAAATGACTGTTTATGGAGAAATATTTTGTATCCCCAGAAAGCTCAAAAGTTATCAAGAGTCACTATCCTTGTGAGACGTATGCTTGGGTATTAGATTTTATGGCACTATTATGCAACACCGGATAAATCAGCTAGCATACAAGCTATAAATCTACCTTTTTTGCACTCTCATTGTCTGTTTCTTTATGAAAATAAAGTCTGTCTCTCCTCTCTCTCTCTCTCTCTCTCTCACACACACACACACACACACACACACACACACGCACACACTTACTTTCTTCCACTGCTTATGGAATTCTCTCTAAACAAACCAAAAACTTAATGGCCTATTTCTTCCCTAGCCAGGTGTTACTAATTTTTCTTTGTCATTAGCCAGCACACTTCCCCCCAGTATTCTAATTGAAAACATGAAGAAACTTACTAAAGCATCTTCAGTTCACTTTATGCTCTCTAGGAATATTGATGAACTACAGCAAGAGTTTTAAATCTGGTATGTGAGATGGATAAAATTCATTTATCTGAGCAGCTTTATTTGGGTCAAATATAATGCTGACCTCTCTAAAAGGCCCAATGAGAGTGAACCGGCACAGATGAGCACCAGGAGCCGGAGAATGTAAGGACTGTTAAGTTCAGTTGCAAAAGTGGAGAACTTTGTTATTTTAACTCCATTTATCACCTTATTTTTAAAGGTAATCAGCCTAGGGTAGTTAAATAGTGGAGTTTGTTTGCATTGTCATTTTTTTCTGTTGAAAAACAAATATTCTTTAGTGGTTCTGGTCAGAGGTTATACATATATTATACTTCAATGAACCATGCCAGTTTAATCCAGTTGAGGCTATGGCTGGATGTTAATACAACAACAATCTCCCCATTCTTCTTTTGGAGGGCACACAGACACTGAATTCTATTCTTCCAGGGACGACTATATAAATGTAAGCTTTTTGATTCCAAAGCATTGGAAGTCTCATGTGGAAAATACATTAGCATGAACTCATTGCAGTTGACCCACTGTACGTTCCTCACGAGCTGTACTATTGAAAAAATACACTTGTGGAAAAAGTTCAAACCAGAAAAGATTCTCCAATTTCAGACAAATTGAAGGCAAACCGGGCATGGAGCTAAGAAATATGTTGAAGTCACACACCTTACGCTGACACTACAAACATGGTAATTGTTTCTGAATGTTTTTTCAATGGTCCCCAAACTCCTTGCACTGTCTCTCATGGCACCTTAAGTTGTTTCAGAAGAGACAGTGGATTTTTATCAATGTTTTTAGGACGCTCCCAACTGGCACATTCATCACCTCCACTTTTTGGAGAATGGGGGCTGATAAAGTAGCCCCCTTACTCCCCTTTCCTCAAAAGCCCTCCACCCCTCATTCTACAGCAGGGGGAGGGGGAGAGGTGGAAGGGGAAGGGATATCCTGGAGGGAAGGGGAATGGTAATTCTCAGAAACTAAATGAATAGGTTCCTTTTTATATCTTATTTTACAAGCATTCAGGCTGACTAGAACATTCTTTTCTATATGAGCCTTTGAAGTCACATGCTAAATTGCCACAAGAATACTTGCAGCCCTTAAATGCTTGTGCATTTGTTAGTGTTGGGATCCTACTGTTTGTTGCTTGCAAAGTGAAAGGCAGTTGTGTTATGTTTCTTGGGGTATTTGCAATGTGGGTTGTGTTTTTTCATTCAGATGCTTTTTTTATGCAACCCTATTGGAGCCAGCCAAAAATCAAATCTGCAGTTTCAACTTAACCACGGTTAACAGAACAAAAGCAGAAACGTCTGAAGAGTAGTTTTGGAAATTGGACTCCGCTGAATGGTAAGCTTTTCTCTGTCTTGTACTTGTCTTTGTTCTGGATCTTTCGTGCCAAAATTAAAGCAAATGACCTTGGGATTCACATGAGATGGCCTGCTCCAAACCCACACAGCTGGATCTCTGGAGCCCCTTGTTTAACTGGAGAGCATGCACCAGAACTGGCATGCACCCCTTTCCACTCCAAAACTAAAAATGTGGTTTTCCCCACTTGTGGCAGCAGACAGGTCCTAGGTAAATGAGAATAAAACCTCAAATTTTGCATCTCCCTGGTTAGTATGTTTCCACTTTCAAACTATAAAGTGATCTCATTGTGTAAGACCTAGTCTACATGAGAGCTACATCAGTTTTACACACACACAAATATCTTAAACTGGCAGGAACCCCCTGTGTGGACACTTATTTCAGTTGAAGAGTAACCCATTCCATGTTAATTGTAAGACTTAATCAATGTAACTAAATGGAAATATCAGATTTCAAATGGAAATAGAAACTGCACAGCCTTTTGCACAAGTTTAATACCACACCTCTAGTTAATCCAGTGTGACTTTCTCATGTAGACAAGGTTTAAGGGTCTTGAAGAATATTTATTGAAGTTTATAAACCACTCTGAGAAATCTTGCAGGCTCTGCAGTTTGAACTCCACAGGAAATATGATTACTTTATTTTCCCTCTTGAAAATGTCTCTGCTTTTGGGACTATATAGCTATTCTATGAGTACCAGTCTCCTGGCTACAGGAAGTAATTAATGTAGAATTCCAAAAAATACATTGTTAGATAACGGAAAATTGATTCCCCTAACTAGGAATGATACAGCAGCACAGTTTTCATTCCTGGCTTTTTTTTTTTTTTTAAGCAATGTTGCATGTTGAAATCTGGCTGAGAACTGGAGTGAAAAGACATGAAATGTTTGATTAGATCTGACAGCTCCCATGTTTCTTTACTTAGGTTGACACTGGTATTATAACAAATTTAGAATATGCTATGCAACTTTCCCATTGTACGTATTCTGTTGCTGCAATACAATAGGCCACAGGGGAAGTTGAACAGCACAGAATGCAATTAGAACACCAATGTAAATTAATATTTTGTTAAACTTTGGGGATGCTATGGGCATCAGAACATATATATAATGAAATCTGAGAAATGACCATGTTTTATCCTCTTGCAGGGAGAAAGATGTTTTGTACCATGCTAATATTTTATACAGGGCCAATTTTAGGGATGAGTGAGCAGAGCAGTATCCTTAGATGCCAATTTTCATGGGATCTGGGTGACCAGGGCTGGTTTTTGTTCAGTTACTCTAGGAGTGGGAGGTTGTCATGGTGGGAAACCTTTTGACCAGCAAAATGCTTAGGGGAAGCCCTGTATTTTTACATTTCAGCTCCACTACATTTAGCCTTATTAGTTGCTATCCAGTACGTAGCAATATGTTTCTTCATCCTGTGATTGTTTTTTGCTGGGAAAGTCTACAGTGATTGTATTGTCCAGGTTCTCCAGAATCTGCACAGTGCTTAAATGTTTGAGTTGAAAACACTGTAGGGGAATGTCAGGTCTTTTCAGGAGCCAGCAATTTGGGCTAGGTTTGGACTGACATCCTCCTCCCTTTCAAATGCGTGTGTGGTCATTGGGACCTGTGATGAAATGTACAGAATTGGGAAGAGGAACTGGAGACTGTGTGGAAGCAGGAAGAATGTGGAGGCAGGAGGAATGTGTACAGAGGATTTTCATTTGGCCATTCACAATCTTTCAGCACCCCTTGATCTGTTCTAAGGCTATGTCTAGACTGCAGAGCTTTTCTGGGATACCAGAGAGATCCTGGAAAAGCTCTGCCACATCCAAGAAAATGGAAAAAAAATGAAAAAAAATATCGGAAAAGCAGATGCATTTTTCGGCATCCCTGTAAATCTCATTTTACGAGGAAGAAGGGATGTTCCAAAAGCAGGGTTTTTTTCCCCTGAAATTTGGCCCTAAGTAGATAGGCCAAATTTTGGAAAAGCCTCTTTCAGAAGTAAATCAGAAAAAGATACACAATTTGCAACATGCAAATTGTGTTTCTTTTTCCCATTTATTTCTGTAGTGTAGACATAGTCTAAGAGTGCAAATATCTAGAGCTCAGGAAATGGGAGTAGCGGCAGTGGAAGGACATGGACAGGAAGAAGGTGAGTGATCTGGGAAGGACAGGTGAGAGCTAATCTTGCCAAAAGAGGAGGGGGAGGCAGAGAGATACGGAGAGAGAGAAAAATCTTTGAGAGAGGAAGAATCAGAGTGGAGTGTGGGAGAAGACAAAATGGCATCAACAGGGCTATAAATCTGACTTTATTTGAACTTGTCAAATGGAAAGTAGGCACATTTAGAAAATCCTGTGCAATGCATATGCTGAATAAACTCTGGGCAATTTAGTTTTAAACACACAAAGCACTCTAGTATCCACTCATTAAGATGTTTGAATAAAGTAAGATCTAAGAACTTGGAACCTTGTAGTCTCCTGCCAGTCAATTCCCCCCCACCTCCCCATGGAAAGCGTCTTTTCACGTGGTAAGTTGTAAAATTTGTTTTCCTGCCGTTTCCCTTGCACAGTAAATCAAATGAGAATTTTTTTCATAGCTCATGAATGGGTCCCTTTATTTGCATTTTTAAATAAATGTTCAAACACACTTTTTATATGAAATGTTAACATTGTGTAGAGATAAAGAAGGGGTTAAGAAGGAGAGGATGCTATCTTTGGCAAGAATAAGTACTTCAGATTGAAGAGTATATGGATGTTTTTATGATGTGTATTCAAGGGGTCCAGTTTTGAATGTGTGGATTATGGTACTGTTTTTCTGCTGCTGCTTTTTAAGTTTACTAGCCAAGCCTCGCCTCACAGCTGCAGTGCAACAGGCTGAGGGGCAGCAGAGCGGGGAAGATGCAGCGGCAAGGTGGGTGAGGCATAGGGGAGGGCATGCACAGGAAGACCTGGAGGGCACAGGCTCAGGGAACTGAGGGAGGGACGGGCAAAGCATGGTGGACAGGGACTTATCACCAGCCCCACTGCTTGCAGGATCTCCACTTCTCTTTGTTCCCGGTCTGATGTGCTGCTTGGAGAAGTCATTTGCCACTTTTTCCATGGTCTGTTGCCCCTGTAACTCCTCACCCAACTGCTCACCCAACTAGGGACAGGCCATCCCCAGGGTGCAGGAGCAGTGCAGGGCCTTGGCCCACAAGCCACCTACCCCAGTGGGCACAGGTCTTCTTGGTACACTGCTGCTGCCAGCTCCCCCCGCACCTGCCAGCCACTTGCTGGGGAGGTGCCGAGCCCTGCCCCGAGGTCCCCCCAATAGCAGCCTGAGGGGAGGGGCCCCAGCCACACTCATCACTTCTCATTCATTCTGGCATTTTCTAAAAACGTCGCAAGTCTTCTCAAATGTTCTCTATGACAGATGGCGTGACGGACACCTCTCCTTTTATAATACTATAGATTACACTACTCGGTAAATAGACATTACAAATGTTTTTTATTTAATCGACACAAGTAATTATCAAATCTTTTCATTTAAGTGCTATTTTTCAATAAAGAAAAGAAAAGGTTAAAGCAATATATCAAGTAGAAAGAGAACTTGAATAAAATAGGAAAATCGTTAAAAGTCAGAAAAAAATGCATGGACCCACTATGGCTGGTGTTTTCCATGAATAAAATAGGAAAATTGTTAAAAGTCAGAAAAAAATTCATGGACCCACTATGGCTGGTGTTTTCCCATGGCAGTAAACCAGGGCTTCAGCTCCAGCACACAGACAGGTCGCTGCCTGGCTGCTCCCATCCTGGCTGCCAATCGAATTGCTAGCACATTGATTCAGAATACATATTACAATGAAGCAAAGAGAACACAATTTGATTCATAGAAGACAATTACAACAAAATGGTAGATAAGTTCTTAAAGTTCATAAAAATCTTGTTGAAAGCTACCCAACGGATTAAGTCTTCAAGTTGCTAAGCCCCTTTAATTGCCATTGAATGGAAGTTGGGGTACTTTGGGCTTCACGGTATTGGGCTCACTTTTAGCTACTACAGTGGATTTTACACCCACCTGCAGAAGAATGTTGTCCCTGCTTAGAGTGGATTGTGCTTGTGCACAATGGCGAATAGTTCAAAGACCCTTGAAAACACTGAGAGTTCTGCCCTCGCCATGTTCATTTGTCCTAGGTTATAAATTTTGTTTGGATGAAACAAAACAGACCCAAGCAGAAGGAAAAATGATCCTTTCAACTGCTGGTGGTATAAGGCTGTTTCATCTCTCCAGGCAGTTTAATCAGAGTGTGAGTTATCTAATATCTTTCTGGCCTACTATTCTTCAACATGTCTGCTCTCTGACCCCTCCCTTCTCTTGGTTTGCTAGATGAAAAAAAGTCCATTAGGCAGCAACCTTTCAGATGGGAATAATGAACCTGTGACGTGGAATAATATATTTGCTTTTGTTGGAACTTTGACTGGCATTTTTTTTTCTTGTATTGGTGTTTGGCTATTTGCCAATTCTCTGGCTTTGTTTTTCTGATAGAGCTTACTGGGAGGAAAGGTAAGACCCCAAAAAGAAGGAAGAACATACAGGGGTTAAAAAGCTGGAGTGACCATCTGTTTCAACCACTAGTCCCAAAAGGGACTGCCCCAAAGAAAGAGCCAACTAAAAGGAATTGTTACAAAAGAACTGAAGAGAGGAGGCCAGAAGAGGGAAGAGTTCACCAGAAATCCATCTGCATAACCCTATTCAGCCAAAAGCAAAGATTTCAGCAATTAGATCCCAGAATTATTGCAACAAATGTTTGAAATTACAGGCCTATAAACTGGGGAGCTATTTCATGAGAGACATTACTTCTGAATGTTTTTTTATTTGAATTACTATCTGCTTCCCAATGTCTAAAGTTAGAGATAAAAGTGTGGAGAGGGAATTCTTTTCTTAATGTAACACATTAAGTCCCTCCCCCCCGGTAAGCTCTTAGCCACATAACCATGCAAGTTTTTTCCCCCCTCGTAAGCTCTTAGCCACATAACCATGCAAGTATTCACATGACTTTGCAGGTAGAGTGCATATTCAAATGTGCTTTGTGTCCTTTGCCAATATAAGTGTCGAGCAACTGGGGGAAAAAAACTAGATCTTATTGATGGGCTACAGCCAGTGTATAACAACAAACTTAGTTATCAGCTGACAAGTTGCATTTTGAAATCTGCAATTTTTTAGAAATGCCTTAGTTGAATTGGATACAGTATAGCCGTAAGAATTTGCACTCCCACTGACTGGGCAACACCTACTGAGCCTTGTAAATACCAGTGAAAGTTGCTCATGATTTTATCTTTATTTGGCATATCTTAATCTTGGGTGATTTCCCCAAGATTTCCTCAAAAGTGCAAATCTGCACCACATCGACTAGAAGACAAAGAGCAAGACTGGGCGGCACAAAAATGAACTTCATTTAGTATTCAAAATTATATTTGAGAGCTGAAGTTTTGTTTTTAATTTTTGGCAATATATGTATATCCATTACTAAATAATTTTGTATAAAATATATTTGAGATACCTCATTTCTGTGTTTTCTCTATCAAATCTTTAAAATGTGGGGAAGGATTACTCATTTTATGCAAATTACACAGGGTACAGATTATTTTTGTTGTCTTTGGCATAATTCCATGTCTTCTTTCACTGCAACTCCTCTTTCTTCTTTCCTCTTTAATATTCTTGGTTTGCTCAAACTTCTTCATAACAGTTATTGCTTCTACTTTTACCCTAGGTCTCTACTGTCAACAACCACATGCATAACTTTTACCAATGCAGTGAAGAGCCTGATCAAAAGAAATTTCTTCTTTCTTTGTGAACTTTTTTGTTATTTTTTGACACCCAAATGGGAGACCTTAAGGAAGTAAGTTGCTGTCAATCAAGCTCCATTTTCTCCCAGATTTGAATATCCTCTTCAGTGCATTTGAAATGATGCATTCACCCAGTCATTGGGCTTATGCTTCAGATAATAGATTTTTTGGGGGGAAAAGTGTAGTGTATGGCATGTTTTCCGGTGTTCATCATGAGTGACAAAAATTGAAATGATTATTTTATTCCCTATAATAAAATAGTCTATGTGAGTTTCTCTCTCATTGTGGGTATCAATATTTGGAAACAAATTGATCAGATCGGACTGAGAAGTACAAAATTTGTGCAAAGCAAAAAAATCCAAAATGCTTTGGCTGTCTGTGAGCAGAAGCGTTTGTGAAATCCTGATCCGATAGCACATGTAATTGTTTTTAAAATTTGTTTCTTATGCTTTGTTGTCTTTAGAAGAAATGACAGACTATTAATTACACTTGGCAACATGCTGGTGATCTACATTCTTGTGTGTGTTTCCAGCAAAATATGTTTTCTTTACAGCCTTGAAAATAGGCTGGAGCCATTCATTTAGAACTTTGAAATCAATGGCACATGTTTAGCAGTGATAATGTTACTTTTGGCCAGCTCCCCTCAGTCTCAGCTGCCTTGTGTTTTTTGTGTTTTGTTGAATTAGGATAGTGGTAGAAAAGGGAGTTTGGTTTGTAATGCTGTAAAAATCTTTTTTTTTTCTTTTCAAGGAGGGCTGTGAGGGATGGCTAGGTTTATCTGCGGCAAGAATGTAGGCTTTGTGCCTTTTTGGCTGGTGGGTTGATTAATAACTTGTGGTTGAAGGTAGGTAGGTCACCTATGAAACTTTTTGTGCACAGAGGGCATGCATTTGAATTATGGGATTAGCATTTTTGGGGTGTATTCTTTTGGAATAAAGTGTTGGATTTCTCTAGTAGTTTATAACATACATTTTACATGAACAGAACATCTTTTTTTATCAAGCTTGTTGTAAACTATGAAAAGGCGTGGAGATCATTCTATAAGACTAGTATTGCACACTCTGTACTCAAAGCACTATGGAAAGGCTGCCACCCTGAAAAGTTGTGCTGTGCATCAGCTTTCACTCATTGGATAGCACGCTAGAGAGATTTGAGCTCTCAATACTGGTTATCTCTTCATGCATCAAAAGGACCCAATAGGTAACTTGAACTATTTGGTACAATAATACGTGTGGGTCAGTTGCTAGCTAAGTTTTAATAACATCTTTCCCCTAGAACACGGAGGGAAATTGTTGTTTGGTTGGAACTTGGCAGCACTGTGGTAACCTGAAAGGGAGAGGAAAAACACGAGTTGACGATAAGAGGAAAGCAGGAAGAAGGAGAAATTACTTACATTCATAACTATATTGACCATTTTAGGCCAGATTCATCAGGGGTGGGGAGTGTAGCCATATTGTACCACACAGCTAGTATACCATGTTCTGGCCCTACACCAAGTTTAACTGGCCCAGGGAGGATCACCCCTGTATGAAGTTAATTCAGCAGCATTAAACCAACAAAGGCGTTCTACCCAGCTCCCTCTTCCCTGCAAGTGAAAGAACAGGCAAAAGAGGGAATGACTGGAGGAAAGGTATGTAGCCAAGATGCCCCTGCAACACTCCAACACTTGCTGCATCTTCAGCTTCTTGAAGCCACTGAATATATGTTAGAGCAGCCTTCTGGTTGCTCTAAAGCAGGAGTGGGCAATAATTTTTGAAGGGGGAAGCCTTCTGGTTGCTCTAAAGCAGGGGTGGGCAATCATTTTTGAAGGGGGAGCCCACTTCGTGAATTTCAGAAGTGATTGCGACCACCCTGGAAGGGGTGGGACCTTGGGCAGAAGAGGCAGGTCCAGGAGACTTCAAGTGCTCCCTCACCCTCAGACTCTGATTGACCTGGGACTTGGGGAACATGTGGGTGCCTTGCCAGGGGCACCCAGCACATAGAGAGAACTGCCAGCTGTTTTGAACAAAATCTTTGTGCCCCACCCCCGCCTTGCCAGGGGCACCCAGCGCGTAGAGAGAACTGCCAGCTGTTTTGAACAGCTGTTTTGTTTGGGTCCTGCCGTGAGGGCAGGGAACTGGACTTGATGACCTCTCGAGGCTCCTTCCAATTCTAGTGTTCTATGATTCTAAGCGCATGCACCCCTTGCAGTATGAGGACACTTCCTGCCCCTTCCCCCCCCCCAAGAAGGAAGGGAGGGAAGGTGGGTGAGTGGGTGTCGGAGATGGGGGCAGAAGGACTTTAGAGAAATATTCTCTCTTTCTTTCTTTCCTCCCAGACAGACTTCCTCCAGGGATCCAAGGTGTGTGGTCCTACCAGGGGGCCACTGCTGGTGTAGCAGCTGCATCAGAAGGGGCCAGAGAGTGGTTTTCCACTTAGTTTGGGAGGTGTCTCATCTCGCCTCACCTCCCAGCCACTGAGAAGGGCCTGGAAGTGGGGAAGTGCATGAAGGTTCTCGCTCCCCACGCCCTGCCAGGAGTGAGTGGTTCCTCCTGGTGTGGGGAGGAGACTTTGTGCACTTCCCCTTCCCCAGGTCTCGCTTGGCCTGGGGTGGAAGAGTAGCAAGGCAGCTGTGAGCTAGATCAACCCGCTTGGTGGGTCAGATCCAGCCCACAGACGCTGTCTTGCCCACCCCTGCTCTAAAGCACCACAGGAAGATCAGTATTGCACAGACTGCAACAGAAATACAAAGATGAGATTTAGGCCGCATTTCCTTGTATATTGTTATTCCTACCTTCCTGATTTTTGCTTCGTGCTTCTTAAATACAACCCAGGAGCTAACTCTAGTCTTTAATTAAATTGTTTAATGCATCATCACTACCTTTTCATTCAGCTTTGAATTAGTCCAAGAGAACCAACTTTTGATCTTACATACTGTCCTGTGCACTGGTGGGTGTATATTTGTTTTTAATTGCCCTGCAAACATATCAACTAAACCTTCACTACATCATAATTTCATGCTCACATTAATGATATGACAATGACTTTGCTTCCTAAAATGGATCAGTCTTTTGCTAGCCATTCAGACACATTGAAAAAATGAATGACAAATTTTAACTTTTACTGTTCTAGATATAACTTCTGTGACATATTCTGTAAGAAATAAAGACTGAGGCTCAAGGAAAGCCAGGGTAAGTGATGGAAAGTCATAAGAAGTTTGTTTTTGTTGTCTTTATTGTTCAAAATTAGCAGAATTTTGCTTCATAGAACCATACAATTTAAGACCAGATCACCTATTCTGACCTCCTGCATATCACCCCCCAGCACCATAGTAAGTATATTTTCACATTTAGATTTTGACACAATGTTTCAGTTGTGTTTTATTTTGCAGACACTCTT